GCTGCCGTCGGTCAGGGCCAATTGGGGGATATGTGTGTTTGCTTTTTAATTTTTTTCCCTTAAAACTAAGCTATCACTTAACAGTTTATGCTCCTTCCTCTTCCTGTCTCCTCACCTGTGACTCCACCTCCTTGATGCCTCAGTCAGCACAGGTAAATGGCCGCTCGTCGGCCTCATTTGACCCTGTAGAGGCAAGCTCTCCAGGGGGGAGAGCTGCAGTGGTCAGCCCACGTCAGAGGAAGCAGTATAACTCACCCATCGGCCTGTACTCAGAGGAGACTCTGAAAGAGATGGCAGCAATGCAGGCGGGTCAGCCTATGGGGTATGTAGTGACAACAGGTCCAACAGAAAGGTTTTAAGGCCAGCGGAGAAGGAGGGTCAGAGGCAGAGCTGATTAAATGAAGCAGGTGGTTTTGTATCTGATGTTGCATTACCAAATACTCTATTTATAGGAAAAATCTGTTTCACTTTTATTCATCAGTATGGTGAACACCAAGAAAACACAACCAATCAGAGCACCTCTTTACACAAAGATGAAAAGTTAATAATAACAAAAGTTTAACATTCATTTCAGTTTATTTCTATAGCGCCAAGTCCCAACAGAAGTCATCTCAGGGCACTGAACAGAAACATTCACATACATTGTAAAAGCCAATTAGTAAAAGTTATATATTAAAGGAAGCAGCAGATTGTGTTGAATCTTCACTTCATCTCAGTCTCCCATCCTGAGCAAGCACAAAGGTGACAGTGGAAAGGAAAAACTCCCTTTTAAAGGAAAAAACCTCCAGCAGAACCAGGTTCAGGACGAGAGGCCATCTGCTTGGACCGGCTGGGTTTGAAAGGACATGAAAGAGGAACAGACAAACACAGAATGACAGGTCCAGATTTATGTTCTATAGGAAGAAAGACAAAAAAACATGTTAAGATAGAAATAATTATAAATACAAACAGGTACAGTATGTAAAGACAGCAGCAGAGTGAGGAAATGTGTCCTCCATCAGTCTAAGACTATAACAGAATAACTACGGGAAAGTGCAGGAAACCCAAGCCAACCCTAACTATAGGATTTATTAAAAAAGAAAGTCTTAAGCCTAGTCTTAAAACTGGACAATGTGTCAGCCTCACGGACAGAAACTAGAAGTTGGTTCCACAAGAGAGGAGGCAGATAACTGAAAGATCTGCCTCCCATTTTTTCCCACTTTTGGAAACTCTAGGAACCCCAAGTAAACCTGCAGTCTGAGAGCGAAGTGCTCTGTTAGGAAAATATGGAACAGTAAGATCTGCAATATAAGATGGAGCTAGGTTGTTGAGAGCTTTGTAGGTTAGAAGTAAGATTTTGAATTCTATTCTGGATTTGACAGGGAGCCACTGGAGAGAAGCTAAAACTGGAGAGATATGATCTCTCCCACTAACTCCAGTTAAGACTCTGGCAGCAGCATTTTGGATCAACTGAAGACTTTATAATTAAGTCTGTGGACACCCAAATAACAAACAATTGCAATAGTCCAGTCTAGACGTGACAAATGCATGAACCAGTTTTTCTGCATCATTTTTAGATGTTTCTAATTTTAGTGATATGACGCAGGTGGAAGAAGGCGGTTCTTGTAACGTTTTTAATGTGGGGGATAAAAGACATGTCCTGATCAATAATAATAATACCAAGATTTTTAACATTAGAACTGTAGGACAGATTAATGTCATCTAAGGAGGGAGAAAGACTGAAAATTTATTCCTAAAATGCTCAAGTCCAAAAACTCAAACCTCAGTCTTGTCTGTGTTCAAAAAAAGTGAATTTAGGGTCATCCATGTTTTTATGTCTTTAAGACATGCTTGCAGTCTAAGTATCTGATTGGATTCATTGGGTGTCATGAAACACTTTTGGAATACTTTCACAAAAACTACATTTTTTCCATACCTTAATCAATAATGAAGATTGGGGGTAAAAAGAACAAGAACCTTCAATGAAAAACTAAACACTCTCCAGGCTTTTAGTGGCAGCTAAAAAGTTTTCAGTTCACTTTAGATTATTTGTTCCTTTCAAGCTACTAGTTCTGTTTGATAGACTCCATATTTTATGGAAAATGTCAATATAACTCTTCTCAGAATAAAGCAACACTTGCTGATATCTAATATTTGACGTTTTATGAACATACACCACAATCCTCCAGACTAGTGAACTGATTATTCTGCCCTTTTTAAATAGTTTAAATGTCCTCTTATGGTAAACTCTAGAAAATACTTTTGAATATGACAAACTTCATTTTTTCTAGTGAAAAATAAATTAAATACACAACGTATGTAAGCTCTAAATACAGTAGATATTTAATATCAGAACTAATCAGTCTGTAACTGGACCTCAGTCCATTAGCAGCTACTTAAACCCCTGCTCTGCTGACCTCTGACCCTGAAAAGAAGAAGCATGGGCTCATCAGAACATCCAGTTTTGTCTTCATATAATTCTCCCATAACTGATGAATCAGATGGTTGATTCAAAATAAAAATGCTGTTTCAGCAGTAATGTCAGAAAGTGTTTAAAATGAAGAGGACAGTTTATCCTCAAACTCACTGCTGCCTTTAGTTTAGTGGCGTGGACATTCTGCAGCTCAGCATGCCTGAGGTGTTTCCTCAGTTGTGATACAGTTACTGTGTCACTGAGGACACTGGACACCTGTCGGATTGTGAGGCTGCTTTTAAAGGTCAGGAGACCTTTTGGACATGGATGGCTCAGAAACAATTTTAACCTCACACTCTTGGATTTGAGATTTAAAGTCTGGGAAGATCCTGGATGATCCAAGTTAAGGTGAAATAAAGTTTCCATGTTAGAAAATAACAAAACATTCCATGACTTGTAGGATCTTCACAACCTTAACATTAATGTCAAACTCAAAATGTAAAAATAACTTTATATTCTTTAAAGTTTCAAAATAAAATACAAAAGAAGGAAAATGTTAGGGAACGGGAAAATACATAATGTTTCTCTAGAAAGAATATATTTTAAAAAGGATAATCTCAATCCATCCAACCATCCATCAATCCATCCATCCATCCATTCATCCAGCCAGTCAGCCATCCATCTGTCCGTCCATCCATCCGTCCGTCCATCCATCCATCCATCCATCCATCCATCCATCCATCCATCCATCCATCCATCCATCCATCCAACATCCAACCATCCATCCATCTGTCCAACCATCCATCCTTCCATCCAACCAGCCATCCAAACATCCATCCATCAGTCCATCCATCCATCCATCCATCCATCCATCCAT